TCCTTGAGAACTGCAACAGTGATTCTATCTCACGCTGTTCGACCCCACTCAACAGTTTTTCGCCAAGGTTCCGTCGAGTTCATTGTGACCCGACTACAGCAAACTGCCTGGCCCACTTGCAGGACAGCGTCGTGCGTGGTACCTCTGATTGGGTGCCAATATGGGGTGAAAGCATACTTGCAGACCAGCTCATGCACAATGGCGTGTGCTAAGACAAACTGCCGGAACAAACGTAACAGCGCCTTGTATTTTGTTTCAAGATGACTATCGCATTATATTTGTTTTTTACATAGTGTAGTCATTTCGCTTTCAGTATACAGTTCATATATGTATTAAATCATAATTACAATATATACACGTGGTTGTGGCACACTGCTCGTGAGGTGCTATATCTGTATGTTTATCATGGTGCTTCTACCGCTCCGACCATGTATTTATTTTTTTCAGCGATGTTCTTTTTTTGTATGGGGCTGTGAACCAGTCAGGCGATTTTATAACACTACTTCTTATCACAGTCCTTTCTTTCTGTATGACAGAATTAAAAATAAACTTCGATTTGAATTAGCAAAAAACTGTAATACCTTGCCAGAACCTGGGTTGTTGGGCATAACGCCACCAGATGGCACGACTTGTCCAAGTTTGTGCCTATGGTGATTGGCTGAAACATTTAAGTTTACACTGTTATGGTGAATATATGGTGAATCGTGTGCAGCCCACGAAGCAAGACTACTTGCCACATCGCATACCCACCAACACAGAAAAGGAAATCACATGCTCTACCTAGGAAGCACCAGTCAAACCCACACAATCTATAGCAGACAAGTAGACGTTGCAGTGGCACTTCTGCTTCGCTAGTATCAACGTCTCACACCCAATGTTGTCATTAACTCTGGCAAGCTAGGTGAACGTTTGGAGGCAAGTTATATAATTCATTTGAAAAGAATCTGCGAAACTCTCAAGCCTGCAATTTGAAATGAATGGAACAAACGTGCAAGTGAACATACCCAGTGAATGTTATTGAGATCCATTGACCTCCAAAAATCGCCACAGTTGGCCTTTGAAGGAGCAGTGACACCAAATTTCAAACTTGAGATGTGGCGCTGATTCGATTGCTTGGTATGCATGAGTTTTTTTAGCGAAGTATGAATGGTGTCTGTTATGCAGAAGTTATTCTATTTCGAGCGCAAAGAGCATCCAAAGTCTCAGCAGTGCATTCCCGGCCATGAGACATCTACAGTATTTTAACATAATTGATGAGCTTCTAGGCCACGCTTCAGGCTCTGAGTGATGATATGAGCGAGCAGCGATGACATTGAGTATTTTAGTCTTCTCATTTCTCATCACGGTGTTTACCAGTGGTACCATCTGGCTTCCTGGCGACGAATTCACTTGCTTTTTTGTGTGTGGTTTATGCAGCGCGTTCGTGTGAATCCTGTGTTTTCGTTGTGCCGCTTTGGGGGATTTGTGGTATAGTTGTGAGCACGACTGTAATTGCTTGATGCTACTGTCATCGCGAAAAAGTGACAAGTACACAGCGTTCTTATGTTTAACCAATAAGCATGGCCCAAACGTGCATCTCCAGCTGCCTCGTGCCTCGTCGCTGCTCAGTCCGGCGTCAATTTCAGAATCACTGCTCATAACAGGATCAAACAGAAAATGATTTGCCATGCCGCGATTTCATATTCCTTAGTATTTTTATCGCCGCATGTAGATGCTGATGATGGCTTCGGCGAGCCGAAGAGATACTCGTGTCACTATTTCGTGTGGCCACGTGATCAGATGAGGTGGGACTGCGAGAGGAAACTGCTTGGCAGCGTTGGCAGTGGTGAAAATTGGCGAGCCTTTCACCTCTTTTGATTTGGGTTCGATACTAGTCATACTAATCGATATTACACATATTAATTCATCCTGTTGCATTATTCGTAACGAATAGTTACTAGGAAATTGACAACTTCGCATTGATAAAAAAAAACGTGGCATGCATCAAGTTGATGTCGCTGCTATTTAACGTAGGTTATGTGCACTTCTCTACCTTCTTCTTTCCTTGTTTTTCTGTTTTATTTCAGCAACGCACTAAGCTTAACCGCAGCCTTCCCCCCCCCCCCCCTTTAAAGGGAAACCATGCTCACATCTGTGCCTAGGTGTTTGTATGCATCTTCGTTTTCACAAACTCGGCCATAGCCAGTAGAGACAAAAGACAGAAGTCAACCTGAAATTCACACATTCTCCGTAATGGCGAAACAATATAATGCGAGCACAATTGCAGTATACTGTGCGAAGTTAGACTAGCAGCTTTAGGAGTGATGTGCTTCCGTTTTGTGCTTCTGAACTGAGAATCCTGTCTACTAGCCTCCGGTGCTGAGCTGCAGCATGTCTCATGCGCATGTGCACTTTGTTTCTTTTTGTGGTCATGCATGCTAGCGCACTTTTTTTCAATGCGCCTACCGTTCCACTGAAGCTCTTTGGCTGGCATTGCAATGACACTCGAGCCGCGTAAAGCAAAAGGTGTAATCAACACACTGATATGCTAGCAAAACTCTAGAGCGAACTCATTGGCAAGACTTTTACTATGTCTCCCGGACATTGTCGGGACAATTATCTGCTCCACTGATGCTTCTAGTGTGTACTAGAACAACTGGCACACTGTAACGCTTAGGTGCTCGGTTGAACTTTGCTATGCTTGAACGTCATATTCATGGAAGCAGGCGTTTTTATCAGTGAAGCTGTTAAAGCTTTTCGTTGCAACTGGATTGGCGTCATGAGCAGGCACATGCTCTCTTTCTTGTCCTCATTTTCTGCCTCGCTCTGACAATATGTGTGCCAATTTGTCTTGACGTGTAAGATACAATAACTGATGGGCGAGAGAACGATACGAAGAGAGAATGAGTCACGTGACCTAAAATCATGTAACGCTGGTCACGGGACATGTTCGTGCCAGAATCACACACAGGCCACGTGACATTTTCCTGCTAAAACCATGTAGCATTACACAAGGGACGAAAAATAACGTACTACTATTCACGTGACATATGTTCCCACGAAATTCACGTAACATTAGTTATGCGATATTCTCCTTCGAAAAGCATGGAAGGTTAGTAACATCACCTAAAAACACGTAACAGTAGGCACGCGACACATTTCTGGCAAAATTATGCAACACCTGTAGCTTGACACAGAATCACTAGTCTCTTGATGTCCCTGTTAAATTTCCGTAACATTTGTCACGCCTAATTCCCCCGCAAGAGAAAATCTCGTAACACTATAGTCACTTGACTAATGTGGGGACACGTGTGGCGGGGCGGGAACATGGGCGTCGAGAGGATAATGTTTTGGGGGTGCGAACCTGTTATGTATCACTGCTGGGGGAGAAACGGAGCATTTATTTAGCTTGGGGGGGGGGGGAAGCAAATACCGACGTCGCTTGAGTGGGCAACTGCCCCTTTTGCATCTCCTTGTCGACGCCCTTGGGCTGACGTAGGCTTGGGAAGGCAGCTTCTTCCTGAGGAGTATGAGCACTAGTTTCACTATTCGTTACATGTTCGCACCACCAGTGCAAGCTGCGCACTTCTTTTTTGTTTTGTTTTGTACGAGCAGTTGCTCTATAATGTGCGTGCAGTGTTTATAAAGCTATCGAGGGACTATGGTATAACTGATATATCTATACGAGTACACGCCTTTGTAGTTAAGAAGCAACTATAGACCTTTCCACAGATGGCTTCCTGAGCACCGTCATATTACTCTATAGGCTGCGATAGATAGGTGTGAGCCCCCAAAAGTGCACTGCCGATGATATGATTTCAGCCTTTGAACCCTTGCACGTTTCCCAACATGGCGGCGCTTTTTTCTCTCTTGTGATAATCTGCCCTTCTCAGTACTTGGTATGCTTCACTGCAGCTTCTGAAAACCCACGACTGTTGTATGCGTCACCGCAGCTCGAGTAAGCTTGACTTCTTGACACGTCTACGTAGCAGAGTAGCCAATATCCAGAAATTGCTACTAACTGCAAGCGAATTCACGAATGAAAGCGCTGCTTCAGTACTGCGAGATAGCATATCGACAGTGGTGCCTTTAGGTAATGCCCTTATAGACCTACAATCGTGACATAACATCTGCGAGGTCACACTGTGAGAACTTGCAGGGTCCGAACGTTTTATAGCAAAACTGCGATTCACCTTAGTTGGAACAAACTCATCTTAATGGTTTTCACGCAAGCCCACAGACAAAGTTGTGTCCGAACAATCGCGTACCTCCGAAGGATTGGCCATTTTCTTCATTCCAGTTGGAACAGTAATGCAGGCACTGTCAATATTTTTAAAATCTCTATTTAATTTACAGGCACTTCATGACTTCCTCACTAATAGCACGATATGTCATTTTGCAATGCCTCGTGATCTCCACGACCAAGCAAGTACTTTTATGGAAGAGCCAGCCTAAATAGCAATGTGGTTGACAAAGTTGGGTGCTTTAAACGAGGAAGTATCAAGTCCGAACGATATTTACAAAATGCCAAATTGCAGTAAATGCAGTAACTCTTTATTATGACAGGCTGAGTGGCAGCTGTCTCTTTGTAAAAAGCATGCCGATAAATATCACTCTCTTTCTTGTGTGATGCCCTGAAAAAAGTGGTTATGTGCAGCTTATACTACCAGTTTTAAAGTATCCAATTAACAGCAAGAAAAAGTGGCGATATTTGTATTTTATATGGTAATATAAAGCTGATAAACAATTAAACTTTCATTCAGTGCATTATTTATGCTGCATTTATTCTCCTTTGGTGTAGCCTCATTCTGGTTGAACACTTTTATTTTTTACAAATAAAAAATGCAAAGTTTTTGTTATGGTTGCAGTAACTTAGAAATGTATTTCTTAATAAGCTTGGCTAACTATAGTCAGGGGTGTCTATAAAACTCAATTGTAGACTAATATAGCACAGTGTATCATTATTTCATCCCTTGCATATATACTCTTCATCAAAAGCTTTGCATCATTTTGCATATCAGCGTGGAGATGGAGGACGAACTGGAGTGCCTGATAAGTGGCTGCAATTTCCTTCTCAAGAACATCACTGATGAGGTGTTCGAGTACCAGCGACACGGAAACCCCGAGTACAAGTTCAACAACACCGACCCCAACGTGTTCCCTTACCTGCTCGTCAACATTGGATCCGGTGTCAGCATCATGAAGGTGAGGGCATGTCACATAGTATGTGTACATTGCATATAATCATTTCTTGACATTTCGCTTGTAGTGTTGCCTGCATTCTGCCTCACCAACTCCGTGTGATGCAGCAAAAGCTCTTTGTTAGTTTGGCAGCAGCCAGTTGGAGAAAAAAAAATGTAAGAAGATCGCCATTGTTTACTTCCGATTGGCTTATGCCGACTGGCTTTCAGTTGAAACAATCAGTCGACTTTCTCAACATTCAATCGCAAGAGTGGCCTGCTTCGAGTTAGGAAAATTAGTCTGATACATTATTACGTTAGGAAGATATTTTTGAAAGTGGACAATTGCCATTCACCCAACTTTAACATAAAGGTTTTGGAAGTTCAATTGGATTTCCTTGGTCATTTTAGAACACAGCTATTATAATCCACTCTGCGTGTCTTGTGGCATCATTGTTTCTTATACCGCAAACTTAAAACACCTAAGCAGCTTTGCTCGATAGTAGCCTTATGATAGTATACGATGATGATTGTGATGTTTAGGACGGTTCGAGCACTTCCACTACTGTGAAGCGGCGCAGGAAATAGACAGGGAGACGTGTTCAAACGTTTATATACAAAAGAAAGGATATGAAAAGTCGATGATGTGGGCGTCGTCGGGCAACCACCACGGCACACGAGGAAGAAGAGTCCCGTGGTCTCACGACACTCGAGCAGCGGTGACGTCGTCTAGGAGATGCCTAGACCAGCGCGACTTTGGACCTCGTTTCTGAGGTCTTGATCACCGCCCGGGCATAGCGGTTTCACATGCAGGTTCTGGCCAGTACAGCACCGTCGGTGCCGTGCTGATATGCTGCTCGCTACAGCTGCGGTGCGGCAGCTCAGTCACCGGCGTTCCTCGCCTTGGCCAGGGCACCACCAGGTACCCTCGGGTGCACAGCGCATGAGCTCGAGGCCCACGTCCGAGTCTGGCGCGTCGCTTGATACGGCTCGGCACTGCTCGGCGATCCTCGATTCAGCCAGCAACTCCCCTGGCACCTGGATCTTCGGCCACCCTGGACCTCGCCCGGCTCCGTGGTCCTCCGTGCACACGCCCGCGTCTCGCCCGGCAGAATCTCTCACTCGTCTGAGCTGAGAATTGCACACCTGGCCCGAACACTGCGAGCGTGCCTCGTGCCACCGTGCCACTGCGGTCTTCTTCTTTGTCCCTCAGTGCTCGGTGTTCCGCGTCGACGTGTTTGCGATATTTAGACGTGACATTTTGCCCCCCACTTTAGAAAGTTGTTTCTCTTTAACAACTTTTCTAAGCATGAGGATAGAGAATGTTCACAGCCTGGAAGGTGGAAAGTGTGTAGATGTTAACAGTTTTTTTTTTCACACGCATTCACAGGTTGGTTCACACGCAGTTCACGGAGTTTACATGGAGTTCACAGAGTGTTCAGAAAGAAATAAAAGCCTACATGTGCGTAACGCTTCAAGTCTACCCTCAGCTCATGTAGTCAGCTCCGACGTTGTCACTTTCTTTGATATATTCCACAATGAAGTCGTATTCCATAAGTGTCATCGACCTTGACGTCACGATAGGTCTCGTACTGGTGAAGTGCGAGCAACGGTAGTTCCGGTTCTTCTTCCGGTTGTTCCGTTTGTACCGTGACAGTCACGCGGTCCATTGTGTCTGTCAAGGGTGGTCTCTCCTCGTGCTTCTTAAGTAGGTTGATGGGGAACAAACTGGTTCGGGCTTCTAGATCAACGACATAGTCGATCTCGCTCCGCTTCTCTAGTACAATGAAGGGGTCTTTCCAAGTGAGAATCAGTTTGTTGGTGTCGGAAGGTAGTAGTAGTAATACCTTGTCTCCGATGCAGAGCTGACGAGGCTTCGCTTTGCAATCGTAGTATTTTTTTTGTGTCAGCTTGGCTTTCTGCAGCTCTTCTTGCACAATTTGACACGTCTTATACAAACGATCGCGAAGGTCCATGGCGTAGCCGTATGTAGTCTTTGTTTGGTGATCCAAGGTTTTTCGCGTCCATAATTCCTTCAGTATGGACATTGGACCTCTAATGTATCGACCTTACAGGAGGCCGAACGGCAAAAAGCCGATACTCGACTGAGGCACCTCTTTGTATTCAAATAATAATAATGGTGCCAAGTATCTGTCCCAGTTCTTTGGACTTTCGTGGCACATGCGTCGTATCATTTGCTTTAATGTACCATTAAAGCGCTCCACAAGACCATTTGCCATAGGGTGGTATGGGGTAGTTGGCAACTGTCGGAAAGACAGTAGTCTGTTCACTTCCTGCATTAAGCGTGATGTGAATGACCTTCCGCAGTCGCTCACGATTTCTCGTGGTATTCCAACACACGAGAACATTTCCACCGCGCTTCTGCTATCGTCTCCGTTTCTATGCTTGGTAATGCAACAGCGTAAGGATATCGCGTTGCACAGTCGACAATTGTTAGAACGAAAATGGTTTCTTTTGGCTGATGTCGGTGATAGTGGACCGATTATATCAATCGGCACACGTTGAAAGGGCACGTCAATCACCGGCATTTTTCCGAGGGGGACACGTCCGACTAAGTGCTTTGGCACAGTGCGCTGGCAGATGTCACAAGAGCGCACAAATCGTGTCACCTCAGCCTGCACGCCCGGCCAATAGCACTCTTCTATAATCCTATCAGTTGTTCGTTTAATACCTTGGTGACCTGTCGTAACTCCCTCACGTGCCGTCCTAAGGACAAACTGGCGGAGACTTTGCCGAACAGCCAGTTGGTCAACTTCCTTCCTCGTTAGCAATCTGTAGTGTTGGTGAAGTATTTCCTTAAGCAAAACATACTCTATGTTTGCTGATCGCTTCGTGATCGTCTTCCCGATCGCCGAAAAACAGCTCTCCAAAGTGCGATCTTCTCTCTGCAACTTTTCAAGAACTTGTAGGGTCACATCTAGTTCGTTAGATGCCGCCGCAGGTAAGTTCATGTCCCTGGTCCCTCTTGTTGTTGCTGCACTCAAAGTCGGTAGGTCCGGTGACACGCTTGGATATGGAGCAGGCTCCCTTGCTGGTGCCAACTCCTTATGCAGTCTTGCGACATTCTACAGGTGATGTGACGTGGTAGAACCAGAAAGGAAGATTACCTGTCGATGTTGCCGAGAACGACGTCATAGAGTGGCTTTTCCATACAGAGTGCCAGTGTCGGTCCTCGGAAGAACGGAGAGACAATGTATACCTTTGCCTCGGGAAGCTGACTCGACGAATCGTTGAGAAGGTGTACAGTACGTGTGATACTGGTGAAATTCTTTTCCGGTACCAGCGAACGCTTGACCACCACATAATTGCAACTCGAGTCTCTTAGCACCGTCACGGGCTGTCCCTCGAAATATCCGGTTGCCGTTGGCATCTCTTGTCTTAGCAGACCAAGACAAATATCTCTTTTTTTCGAGGGTGCATTTTCCTCTGCTGATGAAGGGGTACAATCTAAGCTCTCCTTGTTTCGAGCAGAAGGTGCACGGTGATAGTCGGCAACAGCACTTGACGCCTCCTTGTTGCGGCTCTTTACATTTGGACACTCGTCCGCTTGATGGTCATGTTTCCTGCACTTCCAGCAAGACGAGGGCTTCGAGCCTTTTGACCGCGTCCAACAGTCTGCAGCCCGATGACCTTGCTTGCCACATAAAAAGCATTGCACTTTTGCTTTTCTGGCCTCTTTATCGCGGCTCTTGCTCGTCAGTTTTGCTTTTTCGCTTGGTCTTTCCTGTTTCCCTTTCGCAATAGTTGTCAGGCCTTGCGCCTTCAGATAATAGTCAGCCGTTTCGGCTAGCTGATCGAGCATTCGACATCCTCGCTCTTTCAAGAAGATGGTGAGTTTCTCATCGCATCTTAGCAAAAACTGTTCGGACAGAGTGCTATCTCTCAATGCCTCATACGTTTTTTCTGTTTTCGCCATCTGCTGTCAATGATCGAAGTAACCGAACAGTCGACCAGCAAATTGTCCCCCTGTCTCAGAATTCTCCGGCTTAGCTTCGCGAAACTTTTGCCAATATCCCTCTTCGGTGTACCTAAATCTTTGCAACAAGATTTGCTTCAGCTTTTTGTAGTCTGTGGCATCCTCTGCAGCCATACGTCCTACAATACTCAAGGCTTCACCTGAGAGGCATAAGCTTAATGAGAGTGCCCACCTGTTGCCTGGCCATCCTTAGCTGGTGGCTACCCGCTCGAAGCGCTGAATGTACGGGCCGAGTTCATTGCGGCCCTCATTGTAGGAAGGAATAAGATTGTGGGGTCTCCTGAACGCTTCGCTGCTGGCTTACACGCGCTCTCACCGGTTCCAACCGTCTCAGCCGTGCGCTCAGCAAGACGACACTTAGCCTCCAGCAGACTTTGTTCCACCGCCAGACGAGCAATCTCCTGTTCGAGCGCTATTCGGGATGCGTCCCTATCCTCAGCCCGTCTGTCACGCTCTTTTTTTCTGCTGCTCCTCAATACACTCCCTCAGTTCGTTACCCGACAAGCCAACTTCCTTGCCACTCGAAATATACTTCTCCCAATCCATTTCCGCCCACTGCACAAAAGAGAAGTGCGGCTCTGAAAGTTGGAGCTAGAACTTGGTCCTACGTCGCGGATGCCAGGAAACTGTGATGTTTAGGACGGTTCGAGCACTTCCACTACTGTGCAGTGGCACAGGAAACAGACAGGGAGACATGTTCAAACGATTAGATACTGTGACGACGCGGGATCGACGAGCACACAAAGAACCTCGAACAAATACGCTTTATCGATCACAGGAAAGAGACTGCAATGTCTTCTTCGTCTCTGCTCTCGGCCAAAGACACTCGCGCTGCTTCATTGTCACCGCCACTGGCACATACGCGCGTCATTATTCCCCCTTTAAAAAAACACCGCCCCGATGTTAAACCTTCCTAAAGCAAGGTAAAACCAAAACTGCACCGTTAGTCACTGAAAGTAACGTGCTTCACGTGCTTTATCCGAAGCACGTGGACAATCTCTGGTGAATGTCTGCGGCGCTTTGAACACTGAACGCCGTCCGGAACAACCTCGTAGTTGACGTCACTGATGCGTCGCAGAGCCTTGTAGGGTCCGAAGTACCTTCGCAACAGCTTTTCGGAGAGCCCACGCTGACGAATAGGTGTCCAGACCAACACTTTGTCACCCACGTGTCCGTGACAGTTCTGTGCCGGAGGTTGTAATGTTTGGCGTCATCGTCTTGCTGTTTGGTTATTCGCAACTGGGCAAGTTGTTTGGCTTCCTCTGCTCGCTGGATAAACTGTTCGGCGTCCGTCTCATTACCATCATTTTCATGAGGGAGCATCGCGTCTAACGTTGTCGTGACTTCGCGTCCGAAAAGAAGACTGAAGGGTGTCTTCTGAGTGGTCTCCTGACGAGCCGTGTTGTACGTGAACATCACGTAGGGCAATATGTCATCCCAGTTCTTGTGCTCTACATCTACGTACATGCTTATCATGTCAGCTAGTGTCTTAAAACGATGGCTTCGATGAAAAATCGTGTGCACAGCTCACCTCGGTGCACAGCTCATGAGCACGCGGCCCACGTCCGAGTCTGGCGCGTCGCTTGGTACGGCTCGGCACCGCTCGGCGATCCTCGATTCAGCTAGCAACTCCCCTGGCACCTGCATCCTCGGCCACCCTAGACCTCGCCCGGCTCCGTGGTACTCCGTGCACATGCCCGCGTCTCGCCCGGCAGAACTTCTCGCTCGTCTGAGCTGAGAATTGCACACCTGGCCCGAACACTGCGAACGCGCCTCGTGCCACCGCGCTCTTCTTTTTTGTCCCTCAGTGCTCGGTGTTCTGCGTCGACATGTTTGCGATATATACGCATGACAATGATTTATATACAGTTAAACTCCCTTAATTCCCGTCTTTTATATTAGATGTCTTGTACAAGCATGGTATCACACATGCATTTTCTTATCTACCAGTACTTTACTATAGACACACCGGTGTCTCTCATTCATCTGAATGAGTGACACACCGGTGTCACTCATTCATCTCTTATATCAGTGTCTCTTATAAAAGGGTCGGACTGTATTTATGTTCAGTGTCATTGTGCTTCATGTTGTTGATTAGTAATTCATCGTAATGCAATATTCTGCTAGCTTCCTGGACAGCTCAAAAGGCAGAGGGTGTTACGAAGGGCGCCACGAAACTCGCCTCTGCAAAGGACATCGTCTGTGCCGATAGCGAGAGGGGCTCGAAGCAACGAGATGTTTTCTCTCGCACGCATACGTTGGCTTCTCACTGACGCATAGGTCAACTGCTGGCGACGCGCCACTTGGCTTTCTTTATAGGCACCGGATGGATCTTTCCATCACCAACATCCAACCAGAAGCGCCGCTGGCCGTGATGTCACAATCCTCCAACGGGGACCCGCCGCTGCTCGTGGTTGCACCCAAGGATGAGGGATGTTGGCACGCATCGCTTAAGACTCGCCACACTGGAAAGCGCCGATTGCTTCATCGGGCTCGTGGGCTGAGGGAGCTCGCTGTGCATTGCGTAAGACAGACCGCAGCCGCCGCGTGATGACGTCGTTGAGTTGATCGCGTCAGGCCGTCAGGCGGGCTTGATCGTTGGCCTTGACACAGATTGCCTTTGCAGAGGCATTGACGTTCGGTGTGGACTTCCAGGCGTAACAAGGGACAGCCTCGAATTTGAATGCACATGGTTTATGGGTATTTAAACCCACAACCACTTTTGTACAGATTTGCATCTCAGACTGAGACAAATTCCTCGTCTTTCTGAGAAATTTGCACGTATTTGCTTGTAACTTCGCAATAGAAATAGATGGACTGTTACTATCGTTAGCCTCCTTCCAGTGTGCAGAGTTCTACAAAACTGATTTTTCATATTACTATTCATTTGCACAGACAAAACAATGCACGTGTGACTGCTCATGTGAAAGGCTTGTCGGCTTCAGGGTGTCACGAATGAATACACTTAAATAATACATCTGCATAAATTAGGTATTTAACTATACGAAGCATAAGCAGAATATCTACACACTGAAATGCTTTTCTCATTTATAAAATGACTAAATTAGTTCTTAATGCTCAGTCATGGGTATCTGACTGTCTTCAGTCACTGTTCCTCTAAACACCGTGTTCAGAGAGCTATGCACTACAATAGTCATTCGGAGTTCATACCTGACAACACAGAGCTCCTGTTTTACAGTAAATCTTTATGTGAGTATGAGATGGTGAGAAAATGTGGTGGTCCATGAGGGGGCGGAAACTATATAGAAGAAGCAATGCTGCATACCCTACTTTGAAGGGTCTCCACGCTTGGTCTAATTTTTCTTCAGGTTCAATCAGCATATATCGCTAGAGAGGATACCCACTGTAGCATAAATCGCTACCCGTAAAAGCCTTTAGGTGTTCCTAATATCATTAAAGTAACATTACCAAATGGAAAATACGGAGCACACATATCTCTCAAATGGGGTGGTATTTAAATCAAAAGATATGACCAAAAACACTGAGATAGATCCAAACTCTCGATTAACACCGAGGCCACGCATTCTTGCTTTGCTGTTTACCCACCTGTACAGTGTTTGAGTGATGATTCTTAAGGTGGAAGCCTTTAATGTCTCATACTCGCAGTGACTGTGGACCCGTCTAGCCCCCTGGCACGATGTCATCTGTGGCGTCTCCCCCTCACGCAGGAAGATAAATGAGCTTTATAAGTGCAAGATGGCATCTGCACGATGCCCAATGATCAAGAATATGAATACACGCAAAACAGAGGCAGATTAGTCTCATGTCTCACTGAGATTCGCAGTGAAAGTAAAAAAAACACACAGACATTCTATTTGTGTGCCATTCTACAGGAAGTGTAAGAAAGAGACATGGTATACTAGTTAGTCAAATGGCTTCAGGCTTTTGCCAAACACAGTTTGGAAATTAAGAAATATTCTTCAATTTTCTTCCCCTGCTATCCTACTTCTAGAAGCTTGAAAATGCACTGAGAAAGCTGTACGCCGACTGAAAAAAAAAAGTGCTGAACTGTCAACACCAAGTTTTATTATACCTGTACCACGCGGGCAGAGAAAATGGCATTTACCTCCAAATGCCTTCAGATTTAATACCATACCTGCCGTGCTACACAGATGAACGAAATGGCATTCGCCTAAATGCCATTCGTCGCCTAATGTCATCGCCAGAACTCATTCGACTGAGAATATCATACTCTCGACAGCATAGCTGATCAAGCAATTATATAAAAGGACATTTCATTCGGCAGGAAGGAAACTTTTTGAGTCTTTTATTCACACTAATCACTTAAAAATGTGTTTAAAAACTTATATTCCGCTGGTAGACGCTGTAAAATGAATGTGACAGGTGCCATTTTTTTTTTAGCTGCAGATCTGACTAGCTTTGGCTTAAGTTGGTACATGGTCAGTTGCAACGTCGTGAAACAAAGTAACCAACTAAATCTAACGGCAGTGTAATATGCTTATTTCTACATTTAATTCTCCTCCGAGGTATATGTAGCTTGTAAATGCACGCTTCTTTTTTTATTACTACTATACAATTGTTTACTACAGATGATGGTGTAATCGCCATCATCTGAGTCAAATGTCATTCATTTTGGAAGTGCAGCAACTGCGCCCCAAAAAATGTCATTCAGGAACTGAGTGCCTTCACTACCGAATGTCATTTCCTGTGCCCGTGTGACGTGGGTATTAAGATGTTCCAATGAATACTTGTAAAAATGCATGTGTCAAACACTAGAATGTCATCATGCTTCTTTGGCTTCATGTCTTTATTTTTTAAATACTATCCTTTTAAATACTATCAAGCAATATGTATGATCACCGCATGCCTGTGGATACTGTTCTATTGCTCTGTTTTGATTACATGCATGGTCTTGTGGAGTATTTCTTCACATAATACGTACAGCCAGAATTGGCATTTCCCATGAAGTTGGGAGGCGGCACTTTATCACTCTGCTTTAATTCTCCTAATGCTAGTAGGAAGTAATTTAAAAGTGCAGGAGGGGTATTGCTGCTCTTCATGCTCACAGTTTAGATTTGCCCGTTTTGTAACTAGTAGTGATAAGAAGTTATCTTCCACATCCCCCCCTTGTTAATGTGAACTAACTCCTATACCTGTAATAAGTTTAAAAAGACCTTGCTTTGTAAGGTCTCTTTATGTCACCCAACATCATATTCACGTTGAATATGGTATATACTATGCTGATGTATAGCGTCCCAGGACTGGCGCGCAGTTTGCCAGTCGCATTGCTCTTCTCTTGTGTGCATGTGCGCGCGCCTAAAAGAAGCTCGTCTGAGGCTGCACGGCGGCGTCCCGTTCCCCTGCTCAGGTCGAGTCGGATGACAAGTACGAGCGCATTGGCGGGTCGGCCACCGGGGGCGGCACCTTCTGGGGCCTCGGCTCGCTCATGACCAAGGCCAAGGTGAGATCATAGGCACAGAAGTAGGTGAGGTCGATATAGGCTACTGCAGTCAACTCTTGCTTATTATAGATCAAGCACACACATCGTCGAGCTTGCAACACTTGTCTGATGGGGAGTGCCACCAGCAGGGAGCGCATGTTTTTGTGTAAAAGGCAACCCTCCACGTTGCTGCTTTTTTTGCCATTTTATTGTGGCACACATGCTCTGTAACGTGCAGGATACCTCGGGTTACCTAAGGTCATCGGGAAGATCAGGAATAATTGAAGAATATTGAAGCGCTGGCAATTCGTGTTGTATTAGAACAAAGCATTGATAGAAGAGAGGCTGCCTTGTCAAAACGCGAGAACACACAAGCATTGGGTGGGTCCAGGGTCCTCCCCATTAGACATACTTGGGGCTGCCCGGTGGCAATGGAATTAGAACCCAGTATTTCCACATTGGAGGTAAACAGTCTACCACACGAACACTGCTGCGGCGCAAAAAAGCATAGGACACACAGGAACAGAATGCTCTGTGTGTCCTATGGTTTTTCACTTTGTTTTCTAATAACCAACAGGCCCAGCTCTCTGCACTGCTGCAGGTATTATTGTGCTTAGAACACACTGGCAACATTTTGTCCCTTTTATTGTGGCACCATTAGCGTGGACACTCAAAGAGCGATTTTGCCCTCACTTTAGTGTTGCCATTACCGTAATGTTCTGTATAAAGTTTGAATCAATAATGTCACACCTCGAATTGTATATCTTCTACATGTATGCCATTAAAAACATGCGAGGGCTGCGGAATATTGCAGCACAGATGGAAAGAAAACATGCCGCTCATTTGCGTTGCGCTAAAGAATCATGAAGGGGGGGTGCTGCACGACTCCAGAAGGAAATGCATACTTTGAATATGCAGTGCACAATTGCACACATCATACTGCTTCGGGGACAACCACTTTTGTATGTACTGTGTTTTCATCATAAAGTTCGCATTACAGCACAAAGGTAGCTTTACTTGCTCTAAAGATCATGTACATTATCTTAGCCAGCATAAAATGAAGTTACACCAGGTTGGATGCTGCAAAAGTGAGCTATTGGCTTTACTTTGTAGAAAATTCTAATTTTTTACTATCGAATTCATTGCTTTGCCCTTTTTGCACCTCCGTGTTCCCTCTTATCAGTGTGCACTGGTCGCTTCACATTGCTTCCACAGCTTCGCCCTGCATCTTCTTGGTCAAGGCCCTTTCGCTTATGTGAAATGGCGTGAAGCACAGCTATTTTCATAGAATGAAATTCACTCTGATTGTTCCTTTTGCCACTGTGAGTGACCCACCCGGAAATTTTTTGATCTGTTCGTAATGATAGAAGAAAATTTTGGTTGAGACTCGTCGAAATTGTGTCGAGCCATGAAAATTGCTCCAGCTTGCTGAAATTCTGCAATTTTTTTTGCATGTTCAGAGCCATGGATTTTCAAAAGTGGTGTGTAATACAATGGGAAAGCAACATTTTATTGAGAAAATGAAAGCTTGTACTTCAGATTACGCTCCTTAGTTTGAATGCGGCTACTGACTGTGTTGCAAATATAGTTCTCGTTACACCCTGCATAGGGATGAAAAATTAGCAGTGAGACATAAAGTTTTAGATTTTCCTGTCGTTAGTTGCTTTTCTCATCACGATGGGTGTTAGCACAATGGACAAGAGATAAAGCGAGACCACGAACACAGCATTGACTGATAGCTGAAGTTTTATTAACGAAGGAAGGGATATATATATATAAGCACCATTGGCATAGCCCGGGGCAGGTTTCTTACTCTCCTTACACTACCCTGAAATTTTTCGAATTTGCATGTGTGTGCATACAAGTAAACATACAAACACATGCATGAGCATACATATGTTGGTCAACCGCCTCCTCCTAAGAAAACTTTCTAGCTGCTACATTGATAAGCACACTGTGAATGTCACATAATTTTCAAGTAGAACTTGTCGACAAGAAATGACATAGAAGCAGTGTATCCCATCTACTTGTTTCTTGCAGCGTTTTGATAACAGGTGACATGTGAAGTGAGTACAACTAAGATTAGTACAAACGATGTTAACATGTGTTCAGCCCAACTTTTGCAGCAAAGCCTAAAGCAGTGATAAGGAAGCTGTCTATACATGCGTTTATTGTCTCATTCATTCTTGTCCTTTGCGCTGACATTTGTTCTGAACCTTCAGAACCAACTCACTGGTCACTCTTCTCAACATCCTCTCCTTTTGTTGACAGAGCTTTGATGATCTTCTGGAGCTTGCTGAGCGAGGCGACCACCGCAGAGTGGACATGCTTGTCAAGGACATCTACGGCGGCAACTACGAGGCAGTGGGCCTTACAAGCGACCTCATTGCCTGCTCATTTGGCAAAACAGTCCGCCATACTGGAAACGGCACTGCTTCTGGCAAGGACGACGAAGATGGCACTCGTAGGTGTAACATACATTTTACTTTTTTTTTTTTTTCTGCTTCGATTGAAGACACCCTAGCCCTCTTGCTGATGTGTAGACAAACCAAGGTGTAACAAACTGGAAAGATTGCAAGGCTTCGGATACCTCAATAATTTTAAATATAGAACGTATCTATCTGTCTGGAGCAATGTAACAGGCATAAAAGAGGTTACTCGATCATTCGTTTTTTACCCATGCTTTTTTTTCTGGAATTCTCATTGTAAACCAAGCCTTTTACTTTCTTGAAACAGAGGGGCTGCACTTTGTCCAATGACTAATGATTGCAGGTAGTACTACTATATATATGTAACTGCCTAGTGAATAATAATAATTTCTCTAAATTGTTTGCTCTGGTGTCTCTGAAAGCACGAGTCGCTCATGTGGTATTTCCACACTTGACCTGCGGCTCGAATTTTCATTAAGGATAATCAAGAATACTTTGTCGATGAAAACATGCCTAACCATGCAGCCTATGAAAGTTCTGTGCTAGTAAGTCATCACTGTGGGAGATATGTCACTAGCGCTACCTACAGACAGCATTGAAAACTCCTATAAACAGACTGCAATATAGTATGGACTGGCCTACCCCTCACACCGGGCCATTTTTTTTAATCCCCCCCTCCTTCTAATCGGCAAACATTTATGCCCTCTATTCAGCTTTGGGGAAATCAACTGATGATTCCTTTGTGACTGAGAGGAACTCTCTGTGTCATTTAAAGTTCCTAAGTTAGCTTCAGAAAGCCATATCTTGTATTTCAAATTATTGACATATCAGAAAATTTAAAATATGATTCACCATGGTTTTGATGTACTCTAGTTCGAATGCACTAATATTACATTTGTATGTCTGGAAAATCTTCACTATTAAAATAAATTGCCACATCTGGTTTCTGTCATTTTTTTAATGAAAATTAATGTTACTAATTTTTGATTGCTGAACCATGCAGGTGAATAGTGATTGGTATATCAAACTCTCTCTTATATCGGGACTATCTTTTATGGGGCTCAAGTGTCTTCATTGGTTGCCTATCCACATATAGACCTAGAAGGTATAGGACCATCTGATGATGGCAACGTTGGGAGCTTCTTGTGATACAGATATAAAATTTAAAAAACAGGTTAAGATGGGAGCTTGTGACAAAAATTCTTTAACAGGTTGTGTGTTTGCTCAAGCCAGCATTTCGACAAGAAAGTGCTGAAGAGCTGATACGTGGGCTGGTTGGTATAGATTCATTGTGACAACTTTGCAGTGTAAAGAAATGGGACAAAGTACAATCGAGACACAAACAATAGTGCTAACTAAAAGTTTGATTTACTCATAGAAGAAATGTTGTGCACAAGCTTGAAGACACAGGGGGTCTTGTAATCCTGTTTGTCCTTGCATTTTCTTCTATATATTTTTTCCACAATTAAACCTTAGTTTCAGTCTGTGCTAATGTTCGTGTCCCGATCTTACTTTGTCCCATTTGTTTGCACTTTCAAGTTCCCACAATGAACTTTTTTTGTTGGAGTCTGAAAAAAAAGTACACCGGTCAAAACGTCAGTTCCAGCTCACTTCCTGTTTACGAATTTCCATCAGATATAGTATTCATACCAGCCCTAGACATTCAAACTTTCTTGTGTCTTGATGTAAACATCGACAAAGACAGAGGGAATATTTTTATGCAGCCATTTTACACCCGCTGCAGTAAAACCTTATGAATTCAAACTCTGTTGTTTTGAAATCCCGCTTAAATTGAAGGATTTCTGTAGTATGTATCTTGCAGTGTAAATTTTAGCGGATAGTTCGGAGTGGCATTCAGCATTACACGGGTCTATGCAAAGACTTAGGCTGCCGTATGTGCCGATTCCTAATCCTGATTTCACCGTAAATCTGCAGAAACGATAGCCCCTAGGGGCCACTAGGTAATGCAATGCACCGGTACTAATAATTGTTTGCTGAAGCACCCCAGTCTCGGTGCTTCTAGCGAAAAAAAAAAATAGTACAACGTAGAAACATTAAAAGCGGTCTTGTAGTCAATTGAAATGTGTACCTGCAGAAAAGACGACACGCTTCAATGCAACACAGTTATGACACGTGGGCAGCATGTTGCATGCTCCTGGCAGTGTCAGCGCATCATCATTTACCCATTCTTTCGGGGAAAAGAAGAAATAGTGACAGACATTCTGACGAAATTTGCGATGTATGCGAACCTCCAAATGGTGGTTACTATGGGAATTTGCGCACTTGCGCTGCTGGTAGTTTTTTGTTGCCTACAATCATCATCATCATCATCAACCTGACTATGCCCACTGCAGGGCAAAAGCCTCTCCCATGATCCGCCAATCAACCTCGTCTTGTGCTTTTCATTACCACGTTATACCCGCAAACTTTTTAATCTTATTGACCCGCCTAACTCTCTGTCTCCCCTTCGTGCATTTGCCTCTCTGGGAATCCAGTCAGTTACCCTAAATGACCACCAGTTATCCTGCCTACGTGCTACATGTCCGGCCCATGTCCATTTCTTTTTCTTGGTTTCAACTGCGATACCCTTAACCCCGGTTTGTTCCCTGACCCACCCTGCTCTCTTCTTGTCTCTTAAGGTTACACCTATCATTTTTCTTTCCATCGCTTGCTGCGTCGTCCTCAATTTAAGCTGAACCCTCTTTGTAAGCCTCGAGGTATCTGCTCCGTAGGTAAGCACTGGCAAGATGCAGCTGTTATATACCTTCCTCTTGCGGGATAGTGGCAATCTACTACTGATGATTTGAGAGTGCTTGCCAAATGTGCTTCACCCCATTCTTATTCTCCTAGTTACTTCAATCGCATGGTTTGGCACCGCGCTTATTATCTGTCCGAAGTAGACATACTCCTTAACAACTTCCAGCGTCTCTACATGTATCACAAAGGGCTGTTTTCTGCCGAGACTGTTGCACATTAGTTTTGTGCATATTAATTTTCAGACCTACTTTTCTGCTTTCCGTGTCTAGTTCAGTAATCATGAACTGTAATTCATCCCCTGAGTTACTCATCAAGGCAATGTCATCAGCGAATTACAGATTACTAAGGTACTCTTCATTAACTCTTATCCCTAACTCTTCCCAGTCTAGGGTCTTGAGTACCTCCTGTAAACACGTGGTGAATAGCATTAGAGAGATCGTGTCTCCCTGCCTTACACCCTTCATTATTGGGATTCTTTCGCTTTCTCCATGGAGAACTATGGTGGCTGTGGATCCTCTGTAGATTTCTTCCAGTATGTTTATGTACGGTTCTTCAATGCCCTGATTTCAGTAGTGCCTGTATTACTGCTGATGTCTCGATTTAGTCAAACGCCTTCTCGTAAGCTATAAAATCTGTGTATAGTGGTTGGTTGTAATCAGTGCATTTCTCTATTACCTGATTGATAGTATGAATATGGTCTATTGTGGAGTAACCAGGTACGAAATTCTGCTTCCCACGAAATACAAGAAAAGCTGAAAAACTTCTAGTAAATGTCCAAAAAGAATAGTCCAAAAGTATATCAAAGGTCTTGATAAGACGTTATTTAAACCTAAGCAGCTTAAAAACCTCTTGTAGTTGTGCTAACACCACGTTATTATACGGCTAAAAACTTCTAGCAAGAATTCTAAAAAACGTCTTTTTAGATTTTTTAAACCTTTGTAAATGTTTACTATACTTATATTATTAGAAGCTTAGTAAACTTCTTGCCAAGATTCTAAAAAGACTTTTGCTAGATCTTTTAACACCTTTTTTAGACATTTATTTTTCATGCAAACCAGCTTGTTGAACATTTCTCGTGGTTAATTTGTTGCATTATGTCAGCGTTTTATGATCGGTGCGTTTAGCTGTTCACTGTTGAGAGTGACAAGTAGGGACAGCAACATAATTTGACATCAAATTATTGCTGGCACTATTCTAATCAGCAAAATTGGTGCCCTATTTGTGGAAAGAATGAATTAGTGACTGCCATCTATGATTACGATAATCTGTTTTGCTTGGAGACAAGACAAGCTTTTAAACCTCAACTTATTTTCGTTTCTGGTGTTGCCTGGAATGCACCATACTGCACATCCAAAAGTAAATGCGAAATTTCAACAAATCTTGTTGCATACTTGTAACCTTTATTATATATAACAATAAGTACACACTTTGTACCAAAACTTGCATGTTTTATGGTAACTATAATTTTACAAAGCAATTGAGGGGCTGGCCAGATACTTGGTCCAAGAACCTGCACACATACAAAAGACACAAACTGTTGTCTTCGAGCAAACTTCTATCAGTGCAACGAAATTTAGCAAGCTAGCTTAGCAATCACATTGGCCCAGTAGCAAATATATGAAGGTAGAAAATTTGTTAGAGCCAAAAAGAAGCAAAGAATTGATTTTTTTATCACCCAGTGTGGTTAAATTTAGGTATGTTAGAACCATGAGTAGTCGAAATTAATGTGTTTCACCACAAATCTGTGTTGAACAATCAAATTGTGGTTTTGGCAACACCCCGAATTCTAATTTCATCCCAAAATACTCGCACAAAAGACACAGCGAAGTAAAAAATGCTACGTTATTCCAGAATGCCTTCTGTCAGTCATCATTAAAAATGTTAAACATGGTTAGGTATCACTGTAATATATCATACATGGTTAGGTATGATTAAGTATGACAGTAGAAAATCACTTGATTGCACTTACGGCATTAAATTCGAGAAGACACTAAAATAATGTTATAAAAACATTAAAACAAAATATTTAGTCAATATTACAGAGAATATAAAACCATTGATCTGCTACAGCCTCGTTGCAATGCAAACAGTTCAACTTTAAGGGACTAACTGCAGTATATACAAAAATTAAACATGACATAAAACCTTAGAAAGCAGCACTGACACGTTCAGAGACGTGCTTTGTGCTTGTAATAAAATTCAGCCCTAAGAACAGAAAACTGCCTTTGCAGATAAGTTATGTGTCGAGGGGGACACAAAGTAAGACAATAATGCTGTC